CAGGAGGGTTATTCATACAGTAGGACCCAAGTATGCAGTAAAGTATCATACAGCTGCGGAGAATGCTCTAAGTCATTGCTATAGATCTTGTCTGGAGCTTCTTATAGATAATGGGCTTCAAAGGTGTGTGAAGTGGAATTCTTTAATTTTTCCTTGTTTTCATCGCAACAATCAGATTCCTTAGTAAGTTTATGTTTTTCTTTGTTTCCTAAACTCAAGAACTTAATTTTGGTTTACATACAACATTGTAGTATCGCTATGGGCTGTATATACACAGACGCTAAAAACTATCCTCGAGAACCAGCTGCTCATGTTGCCATAAGTAAGATAGTTCTTGAACTGTCTTTCTGCTTTCGATCAATGACTTTCGCATTTCCAACTCGTGTGTTGTGCGTTTTTCAGGAACTGTACGCCGCTTTCTAGAGAAGCAAAAGGATAAAATCAGTGCTGTTGTTTTCTGTACCACCACATCCTCTGATACGGAGATATACAAAAGGTATCTTAAATTCGCTGCAGTTGGTTTGCAAGAATCTGAACCTTTTGTGTGTTACCTAGTAATCGATTTGCTCACTTTGCTTTCGGAATTTAACATAGAAAGACCATAGCCTGTGATTGTTTCTAAGTGATGGCAGTTGATATAATTTGCACATACCATAATTTCTAATTATGTGATGCGGAAGCAATGTCGACCATTGCTAAACTTTGACTCTCTGAATGTAGATTACTTCCGCTTTACTTTCCTCGAGATGAACACGAGGAAGAGGTTGCCATCTCAAAGCTCCCTGCTGATGTTGGGGATGAAAATGGTGAAACTGTTATAGACGAACGTAAAATCAGAATACAGGCGCTGCCAAATAAACCTCAACCGAGAGTTTTTTCAGCTCCAGTCGAGCGACCTGCCGCTGATCTTACTTTGTTACGAAGGTTGGGGAACGCTGACTGCTTTAGTATTTCCACTGTATTGTCTCACCTTTTTGCACTTTATTGATAGCCATATGATTTCAGGAACTCGAATCATCTTGATTCATATTTGGATCCTGCCTTCATGTCCTTGATTAAAGATCCAGATGAAAGGCGCAAAGAACAATGGGAGAAGACTGCACAAGCACAAAGTGGATTCAATTTTGTTAAATTGCTAGGATTTGGTGATCTGGGGGGGCCCCCTCTCTCTGCTGCAGAGGAATACTCACTTCATTCGCGATACCTAGCAAAAGCTAATTCTCTCAACCTTTCGGAAATTGCAGAGATGAAAATTGTGTATGG